TGTGGGCCAAAGGCTCACGGCGGGTTCCTGGTGGGGACTTACCAGCAGGCCGTGAGGCAGAACTCACGGGTCCCGGACAAAATTTACACTCAGGTCGCAGCCATGCCCGCGCGGAGCACACCAGAAAGGGCGGCGGGCTCCTTGGTGAGGTCTGGGTGAAGCCTGGTCTGGGGCCCAGAACCCTCCCTGGAGACGGGCCACGGCCCCGCACCCACCCTCCTCACACACAGAGGAAGCAGCCGGCAGCCGCTGCCTGCCACGGCCAGCCACACAGTGGCTGTGCAGAATCGGCCGCCCTCGTCCTCCCGTGGACCTGGACCCCAGCCACAGAGCTTCACCGCAGACAGAGAAGAAATAAAATAATGTTTCTCATCATTGTAGGGAGGATCTCTCCACAGAGACAAACCACCTGAAACCACGTGGTTCACCTTGATCAAGTCAGGATTTCAATCATTCAGCAAGTTGTTACAAGTTTTGCGTAATTCTAGAGAAGATGGGATTTCCTCCCTGAACACCTAGTGATCTGTGAAAATTAAACAACATACTCGAATAACCAATGAGCTAAAAAAGAAACCACAAGGAAAACTAGAAAATACTTTGAGATAAATGAGAAAAAACTCCCCACAACATACCTTAAGGACGCACCAAAAGCAGTGCTCAGAGGAAAATTTATAGCTGTAAACATTTACATTAAAAAGAAAATAATAATCTAATTTTATACCATGAGAAACCTGAAAAAAGAGCAGACGACACCCAACGCTGGCAGAAGAAAGGGAATAAGAAAGGCCAGAGCAGAGACGCAAATGAATTAGAGAACAGAAAAGCAGAGAAAATCGATGCAACCAAAACTGGTTCTTTAAAAAGATCAACACTCAGCCGGGCGTGGTGGTACCTGTGGTCCCAGCCACTCGGGAGAATGAGGCCGGAAGGTCGCAGGAGCCGGGGAGGTCACGGCCGCAGGGAGCTACGTTGACGCCACTGCACTGCGGCCTGGGTGGCAGAGCAAGACTGGCTCCAAAATAGAAATAAATAAATAAACAAAAATCAACAAAATTCGTAAACCTTTCACTAGACCAAGAAACTCAGAGGGAAGAGTAACATTGCGTCGGATGCTCTAGCTGGCATAGCTAGGCAAGAAAAAGAAGGATGAGCCGTCCAGACTGGGATGGAAGAAGTAAAACCGGCCCTGCGCACAGACAGCGAGATCATCGCAGGTACGGAAAATCCGAAAGAGTTAACGAAGAAAGGATCGGAGCTAACAGAAGGCACTTAGCAAAGTTGTAGGACAAGATCGATGCCAAAATCAGTTGTATTTCTAAACACAAGCAATGAAAAATCCAAAGAGAAAATTAGGAAAACAATCCCCTTTACAATAACAGCAAAAAGAATAAACTAGTTGGGGACAAACATTTGACGGAGGAGGTCAAGACTCGCGCACTGAAATCTACAAAGGAGCTGACGGTTTAACACTGCGGCGCGCGACACTTAACGTGGTCTCCAGACCCAACGTGGTCCCGCCGGTGGTCAGAGCTGGCGTGGCCCCTGACGCTGTCTGAGGCCGGTGAGGGTCACGCTGAGCCCCAGGGCGTGTGACCTTTGAGGAACATGACCTGCCACTTTGTCGGTGGGATGTTTTCGGCCTTCACTGACCTTTCCCTGAGTCTACGCTCTACTTCCCTGGGGTCTGTCCATCCGCTCGCCTGCGCCCTGCCCTAGACGGGACCCGCTGGGTGTGTCTGCAGCGGCCCCCGCCGCTGGGCAAGTCCGCCACAGGCTCTGGCGCCTTCCCGTGGTGCCCCCACCGCTCTGGAGCACCCTCCTCGGCGTGGCACGTCCGGCAGGTGAGCGAGCCGGGCTGCAGGACAGGGGAGGCCCCAACCCAGATGGCCGTCGGGTGCGCAGGGAGAGCAGGGAGCCCGGCAGGGCTGCAGTGTGGGCCTGGGAGAGTCTCCCGGGGTCTCCCATGGTGGGGACCTGAGCGTGGCTCGTCCAGGCAGCAGGAGCCTCAGTGGCCACACCGCGTGCTGAGTTTTGGAGAAAACACCGCGAGAACAGAAGGGGTCGGTGGAGCTGGTGCAAGCTGGGGTCTCCTGCCTGCAGGGCAGGACGTGGTTCCACGTCGGAATCTGCAGCTCGCCCGGCTCAGACACCAGCCCTGCCAGCCTCCCAGCGTGGGCTCGGGAAAGGCACCGAGGGGGGAGGCGCGGCACAGGCCTGCCTGGCGCCGGCTACCTGGGGTGGTGCAGGGGGCTTGTCCTGGGACAGGGGGAGATGAAACCCGGTGAATCACCATCTAGAAAGTCACAAAGTCCCCGCTGAAGAGTCGCGTTGCAGAGGCCACCGCCGCTCCCCGCTGGGCTTCCATTGCCCCCTCCCCGACCGGGCCTTGACCAGAGGGCAGCCCCTGGTCGCGAGCTCTGACCTCCTGCGCAATCAGCGTCTTCGGGGTGTCGGCCCCTGCCGACCCAGCTCTCTGTGGAGAGAGGGGTCTCCCATCCACTTGGCCACAGCAAGACCGCGCAGGCCGTAACATGTTTGACTCGAGTCCTACTAAATGCTACATGGCTGTGTTTTCCTTGAAATCTCTGAAGTTTTGGTTCTCCCCAAAGCTGAGCAGAGGCGGCTGCCGAGAGTGGGCAAACCCCGGTGCGCCACCGCGGGAAGCGAGGCTTTCTCAGAACGTCAGATGCTCCGGCAGCATCTGTGGTCCTGCAGAAGCTTCTCAGGGACGACGGCTTCCTTCCTGTTTCTCACTGGAACCCACAGGGCTGGGTGGGGCCGGGCACGGGGGCTCCTTCACGCACAGGCAGCACCGAGCGTCTGGGGTCTGTGACCTGGCCGCTGCCCCGTGGGACCCGAGCCGGCCCCGCTGCCCCGTCTAGGCCGAGGGTCCGGCAGGCAGTGGTGTGGGCAGAGGGCAGCGTGAGCGGTGCGCACCGCGTGCGGCCTGGCGAGCATCTGGGCTGTTCCTTCCCAGGGCTGCAAAGTCTCAGGACTCAGGAACTGAACTTCTGTTGACACTGACTGTGCGCAGCCTCCTTCCGCGCTGTGGGATCGCGCCCGGGGTGCAGACCGACGGGAAGTGCCCCCCTGAGCAGGAGGCTCTGGGCCGAGGTGGGGAGAGGAAAGGCTCCACCGCCCCCCTGGGAAGGTGCAGGCTCCGCACGTTCCCCCATGGCCCGGGGCAGCACAGAGATAGCACCAGGCCCCTGCAAAGCCAAACACCTCTCCTCACCCCCAAGTCTGTGCCTGCCGCCGGTGTACATGTCCAGGCCACGACCAGCCACGGGGCGGGGGAAGGCGCAGCTGGGGAGAGTGGAGTGGCCAGGACCCTGGTCACGGAGGACTCCGGGGTCATGGCACCTGTGGTTGCCCCCCACGAATGTCCAGGCCTTTCTACACCAGAGGAAGGGCCCGGGTCGGGGAGGGTGATGGTGGTCTCCAGGCAGCACAAGAGGAACAGTGAGTTTCCCCAGAGCGCCACGGTAAACAGGCCGGCCCTCACGGTCCGCCAGGTCTGCTGCTCTGCACCGCTGAGCCCAGCCCACCAGCCCGGACCCGGCTCTGTCTCAAGGCTGTCAGGGAGGAGCACCAGACACCCCGTGGCCCACCCCACTCTCCAACGAGCCCGGCAGCCCTGCGGTCCGCCACAGACAGGAAACGCACCCTGAGAGTGACTCTCAAACCCAGGGACCTCGGGCGAGATCGTGAATCCCGCCGCTGGGCCCTCGTGAGCATAGCGCACCCCAGCCCTGGTCGCTAAGTGGCAACAGGTCTGCACGGACCCGAAATTCAAACAACGGCAGAAACTCTGGCGGGAGGGGAGGGGGACTGGTCTTATTCACAGGACATGGGACGTCGCTTTTTCTGCCTCGAAACGAGTTCTGTTGGTTCCCTACTTGGAGGAGCTGCCATGTCCACGGCCCGCACGTGGCCACAGCTCACACTGGCAGCAACTGCCTCTTGCAGGAGCCGCCTGGAGGAAAACGTCCCCCAAGTCCCCGAGGGGCCCCCAGGTGCAGGGCAGCCCCTGCTGGAGCACAGCCCGCAGGAGGACGGGCAGGCTGGTGCCCATGCTCAAGGCCTCACGGGCCACATGCTGAGCCTGGCTTTCTCCAACTCCGGGGTTGGGGTTAAGTCTCGACTCAGAAAAGCGAACAGCGAAGCCACAGATCTCCCGTTTGGAAGCTGCTGTCCAGTCACGGGACACGTGTGTGCGTGTTCCCGCCTGCGGAGCCCCAGCCCCAGCGCGGGTATTTTCTGTGGGACGTGAGAGGAATCTCTGCATCTGCACCTCGCGTCTGCCCCAGTTTCCCTGGCTCCTGACTCTGGGGAGGACGGCGCCCTGGCCTTCGTCCTGGGGCTGTCCCTGCATCCCCAGTCCCTGCCAAGTCTCCTGTGGATCCTGGCTGGAGGAAGGACCGACAGCTGGGCACAGGCCAGGGTCACCCTGAAGTTGGCGCCCGAGTGCGCCATGATTTTCTACCAGCTCGGGAGCAGGTGCCCAGCATCAGCGAGGCCACCACGGACACTGGGGCCAAGGCCACGTGGGCCACCTCCACGCACAGCCTTTGGTCGGGGAGCAGGGGTCTCAGGACAGTGACTGGGCAGCGTGGGGCATGTCCAGCACGAGGCACACACGTGGCCTCCCGCACACGATGGCCCAGCCACGGATGCTGCCCCAATATCCTGCCCCCATCCTGTTCCCCAGCATAAACCAGGACTCCACCCTGTCCCCAGGACATCACCCTGACCCCACTCAGACCCCATCCTGTCCCCAGGTCACCACCCAGACCCCACCCTGTCCCCAGGACATCACCCTGACCCCACTCAGACCCCATCCTGTCCCCAGGTCACCGCACTTCCCCTGTGGCCCTACTTGGATCACGTCCTCCTCAGGCCCCAGCAGCCCTCTGAGGAGTTTGCCAGGAAACGGAGGATGTGCCAGCGTCACTCAGCCCCTCTGGTGGGGGGGCCACGCGCGTGAGTGGTCTCCGTACCTGAGAAGCGGCTGCCTGGGGTACGGTGGCTGGTCTGCATCCGCGCACGGTGGGGCCTTCCTGGTCACCTGCTTGTAGATGTTCCTGGCGGTCACTCCGATCCACAGCATGGTGGACAGTGTGGAGTAGTGCAGCATGATGCCCACCTGCGGGGGACAGAGGCCGGTCAGCCGGTCAGCCCCAGCCCCACCTCCCCGAAGCCCGAGCCACCGAGCCTGGAGCTTCCTGGGCTCCTTCAGGAGACAGCGTCTAGTAACAAGACAGGACAGCTGCAGGGGGTAAGGCGGGTTATCGGGGGCAGCCTCGGACACTGCAGGGGTGCCGCAGGGGGCATGTGGGCTGCAAAGACCCTTGAACAGAGGTGCGGTTGGGGAGCTCGTGGGAGCCCACGGGCCTGTGCGTGTCCCTGCGCGAGTCCATGCCACCTGTGGGGCCTGTGTGCCCGCCCCTCCTGTGGTCGCGTGGGGCTCAGGCCGGGGCCCTGTGGCCGCAGAGTTGGGCATCGGAGCCCCACACAGTGTTCGAGCGAGGCGGGTGGCACGTCCTTAGCGGGGATCTCCGCAGCTCGTGGCCCTGTGTGTACGAGGAGGCTCTGACCCAGGACACTCGGCCGCCGACCGCGCAGGGAGCTGCTCCTGCCGTGCCCCAGCCTCGCTGCCTCTGCCCAGCTAATCATGCGCCGCACCTGTCTCTGCCCTCTGATTCCGCAAATCGAAGCTACCTTTGGAGCGGCGACCTGACACTTGGAGACAGGGAAGTAAAACATTGCGTCATCGGGAGGGACGCAAACGTCGACGGAACACAGACTCTGAACACCGCCAACCTTGCGCCTTTGTAACGATCGATCAAATCCAGAGTCCACGTTTTACTTAAGACAAAACCTACAATCACCGACGAGACTCCCGTGGGCGGTGGGAAGGTCGCGGCTCTGCTCACGGTTCAGTTCAGTTCCCTTTGCGGGGTGGCGGCGGGAGACGCAGCTCGCCCGAGAGAGTCCAGCCTTTCCCGGGACGGGCCTTGCATGTGCGCTGCCCCAGCGGGGACAGGGGAGAGGGTGGCGGTGCGGTGTCACTGTCCTGCGTGGCCATCAGTGGTCAGAGGCAGCGCCCGTCCCCAGGCCTCAGGGTGTCTCCTGGTGGTGAAGGGGGCGGGAAGGGTTGGGCCTCGCCTGCGCGTGCTCTGGGGGTTTCAGGAAGCGTGAACGGCGTACTCGTCTCCCAAACACAGACGTCGGGCTGGACACGCAGAGGCCCTGGGGAGGCCGCCTGGGCACCCGGACAGGGCTGCCCTGCCCAGGAAGGAGGCCGTGACGGTCACCCCACCCCACTGGGGACCGAGGCCCGGTGCTGAGGGCACGTCTGTTGATGATGTTGCTTAGCATCTAATGAGGCTCGTGGTCAGCTATGTGTTGCCATGACGACCTTCTGTCCTCTCCAGCCGTCAGAGCTCTGGATGCTCCCTCGCTGCTCCGCGTGGTGCTGGCGGGAAGGTCGGGCCCAGGGTCCTGTGCGCGGCACTGTCGGGGCCCCTGCGGAGTGTGGCGGCCGCCGTCCTGTGGCCTCGTGGTTGGCTCCGGGCCCTTCCTTCCAGCAGGGAGGGGGAGCCACAGGCCAAGGAGGCCTCAGAAACAGCGACAGACACTTCGGGTCACGCCGCCAAGCGCAGGGAGGTCAAGGACGTCTGGGCCTGAGCCCGGTTTTCTGTCCTCCACACCTCCCCATCTCGCCGCAGCCGCGGGTGCCATCTGCGCGGCTCCTATGCGGTGCCCCCAGCATGCAGGCTCCACACGAGACCCCGTGGGCCTGTTTCCGGCTGCGCCCAGCGCCCAGCAGGCCCCGTCTCACGCGTGCTGAATGAATGAATGAGCACGTGAGCGTGTGAGGGACGCCCGCTGGGACCGCGGCTGCAGGTCAAGACGGCGCCTGGAGAAGGGCCGTCACCTTCCAACTGCGGCACCCAGACCCCGTTTCCCCCCGAGCGCTGTCACCGGGAAAGTGCGGAGGCTTCTCTCCTTCACACGATCTCCCCAAGGTCTCGCCTCTCCGGCCCCTTCCAGACCCGCCCTGCCCACCAAACGTCTCGGCGTCACGCGGCTGCCACCAGCAGGCCCTCGGGCTGCACAGAGCCTCGTCCGGGCTGGTCTGAGCCTGGACAGTTTCGGGGCTCGCGTGGGGCCTGGTGGCTTTGTTGCAGCGTGTGGAGCACGGCGGTGAAGCGCGGATTTAAAGCCCATGCCCAGCGCGCCGCAGGCAGTACATAGACGGGGTTCCCAGGCATGCGCGTTGGCTCCTTTCCGCCCACTGAGCGGCATCCGCCGCAGCCGCCTCCCATGCGTGTGCCGGTGGGTTTTCTGCCAGGGCCACGTAGGGCTGGGCCCAGGTGGTGGACGTGGCTTTCTGGTGGCTGGTCCTGATGTGTGCTCACATGGACGTGCCGTCGCCTCCGTGTACAGGTCTGGGGCGTGTGCGTGGGGGCCCATGAGGCTCTCCCGGCCTCAGAATGTGATCATACCCGTGCGAGGAGGGAAAGACACCCTGGGCAGGCCTGGCGCTCACAGCCCAGCTGTCCCCTGTGGGGACAGGCCCTCACCCACCCACCCCCAGGGTGCTTCTTGGCCACTGCTCTCTGGCAGGTGGATGGGTCTCCAGTGTGGACAGACAGCCACCAACGTCAGCTCCAGGTTTGGGAGGGCCCGAGGCCCCCCGGGTGGAGTCGCACCCACGCCACCTGTGGATGTTTGCTGAGCTCGCGATGACAGGGCCAGCGAGAGAGGCGCACGCTCCCCGAGCACAGCAGGCTGGGCGCAGGCCCCGCGCAGGAACCAAACCGCAGGGCTGAGCTCCAGTCACACGCCTGTAGCCCGTGGGGCGCCCCCACCCGGCATGCGGGGCCCTGGAGGGGACCGTCCCGGGGCTGGGCCTGGGGCCCAGCTGAAACCCAAAGGGCGGGACCAGGCTCAGCTCTGATGGAATCGGCGATTCCGACTCCCCCCTTTAAGCCAAAGCCAGGCAGGCCACAGGGCGTGAGGAAGGCCCTCTCCCGACACCCTCGTTCTTTTCCGTGCTGGGCGCTGGGAGGCTCTACCTCTCCTGGCGGAGCAGGATGTTCCCAGCAGCTCTTGGGCAGGGTCCACGCGGGGCGGTCTGCGCAACCCGGACACCCCGGTAACCTGCCCCACTGGCTCCTGCTCCCACAGGGCAGGTCCCCCTCCCCAGAGCTCCCACCCCACCAGACCCCTCGTTGGAGGCAGGTCTGTGCTTGACCTCGGTGGACAGCAGATGTCCAGTCAGCCGTCACTAGGCCTTGGAGTGCACTGGTCCAGGGAGAAGTAAATTCTTTTATATGATACAATTTGGGGCAAAACAACCGGATTCACACGGAGTGAAACTGACGCAGACTGGCCAGAGCCTTGCGTTCCTTCCCGGGAAACGCAGGACAGATGCTAGAATCTTATTTCACAGACAAGACAGTTACTACACTCTCCCCTCAGCAGGAGGGTGACAAACACACGCGGCTCTGCGGCACACGCGACCACGGCACTCACCGCCTGACACAGGACGGGGAACTTGGTGCGATTGATGCCGCCCGCGAACACCGTGAAGGTCAGAGCCGCGTGGAAGCAGAAGTTCAGGAGCGTGTGCCGGCCCTTCCGGCTGATCCGGATGGCGCTGCGAGAAAGAGGGTGTGTCACTTTCACGATGGGACTGAGCCCCTCGCCCACCCCAGCCCTGTCCCTCTGTGGGGCTGGGAGCAACTGCCCAGAGCCCCATGCAGGGCAGAGAACAACGCACCGCGCCACATCCACCCTGCGCAGGTTGCCAGGGGACGGTCCCGCGTTAAGTCACCGCAGGATGCTACAGCCGGAGGGTTTTCTGCAGAGTCTGAGCAATCTGATCGTTTGACAGATGACGATATTGAGCCCCGGGGCTCTGTGACGCGTGTACAGTCCCAGGCAGAAGTCACGCCTCTGGGTCCCAGGAAGGGCTGGTCCCCCCGCCCCCCTGCCAGCTGAGTAGATGTCTGACACCTCGGGAAGGGGCTGGGCTGGGACGGACATTGCTGGATTATGACTCTGGCCACACCTTCACCGTGGCCGTGGCCAAGCCTCTCCTGTGACCACAGCTGCCATGGTCTGAGGGTTCATGTCCCCACCACAGTTCTCATGTTCAAATGTGAGTGGGATCAGTGCTCTCGTAAAAGAGGCCCCCGAGAGCCGCCTTGCCCCACCCACCACGGGAGGACGCAGCGAGACAGCGTGTCCGTGAACTGAGCAGCAGCCCCCACCAGACGCTGCATCTGCTGCTGCCTTTGTCTTGGACCTCCCGGCCCCCAGAACTGTGAGAAACCAACTTCCGTTGTTTATAAGCCACCGAGTCTACGGCAGCTTGGTTGTGCCCAAGTCTCTGCCTATGACCAAGGCCATGGACACCCCCAAGCCTCTGCCCATGACTGAGGCCGTGGCCTGGGCCTTGACCGTGACTTTGATGCCTGGCCTTGCTACGCGGGACCTTCCTCACATTTCCCGAATCTCCTGGTGTACTACAGGCCACTGTACCCTCCCGAGGTGGGAGTGCCTTGTGGGGAGCTCGCTGCACCCAGCTGACCTTGCCTGTCTCAGGGGGAGCTCGCTGCACCCAGCTGACCTTGCCCGTCTCAGGGGGAGCTCGCTGCATCCAGCTGACCTGGCCCGTCTCAGGGGCAGCTCGCTGCACCCAGTTAAGAACAGAAGCTGCTATGAGACCTGCTGGAGGCCCAGAGTGGAGGCCGTGGCTCCCCCGAGCACCCTCACCCTCTGGCTCCTGGAGGACAGTGAGACCTCGCTTTGGGGATTTGCGTTTGAAGGTGGAGGCAGGCGCCGTGGGCGCAGGGCCTCCCGGCCAGGCTCACCTCTGGTGCACAACGTAGGTGATGGCGGAGGCCAGGAGGCAGAGCAGCATGACGGCCGTGCACGCGTACACCACGGGGTGCAGGAAGTCCCCTGGGTACTGGGGCAGGGACAGGACGGTCTTCAGATCCTGGGGAGGAAACAGAGGACACCGCGTGAGCTACGGGCTGCCAGGACCTGCGCAGTGGCAGAGCCTCCTGGTCCCCCACCTCGGGTTCAGCCTCCCCTGGAGCCGCTCTGGCCACCTCCTGGCCTGAGCCACTTGTTAGGTCCCAAACACAGCACCCGCCTGGGCAGAGGGGTCTGGCTGGTGGCGGCGAAAGGCCCTGCTCAGTGGGCGCTGGGGCAGGACCAGCTGCAGCACGTGGCCGCCCGGCGTGGTCTGTCTGCACCCCCCCCCCCCCCCCGTGCTCAGCCCAGCTGCTGGACGGTGGCATTTCTGCTGTGCCTGACGTCTGCCTCCGGCCTCCCATCTGTCCCATGTGGCTGGAGAGGGTGGGGCGGCGCCGGCTTCCACCGGAGGGCACCTCGCCTGCCGGTGGGGTCGGGGTGGCCATTCAGAGAGGCGGCGAGGCGTCGGATCATCCCAACCCCACTTCTGTGCCTCACACCCATGGAAATCCTGCTTTTGAATCTTCCTGGGAGAATTCTGTACGAAGCCTTGGCTCGAGTCCACGGAGAAAGAGCAGCGGCTGTTACGCACGGTGGACACGGCCGAGGCCCCGCGGCCGTTCCTAGACATCGTGGATCGCAGTGTGCGTTGGGGTCTGAGTAAGGGCGCGAGGTCGGAGCGCGAGGAGAACGTGTTCTCTGTGGCAGAGTGAAGCTGGGGGAAGAGCATGCCCGCCTGCAAATGTGTGGAACGGAGGGGGTTTGCGTTTCATTCGTCACACGGCTACGCTGGGCACGGGAGGAGACGCCAGGGAGGTCATGCGCAGAGCAGCCGCGTGAGGATGGCAGAAAACTGTCTGCAGACCGGGGCGAGACCCCAGCAGAAACCACCTGCCGGCACCTGGACCCTGGACCTCCAGCCTCACACCCTTGGTGGGCACCGCGTCCCGCTGGGACCCCACAGGGGTGCTGTGGTCCCACTGTCGGGGCAGAAGTCATTGCCCTGCCCCTGCCCATGCTCTGCACGGCCCTCCGGGGAGAGGCCCTGGCCTGGGGGTGGGGCCAGGGCCGGTGCCTACTGTCTCGGGACTCGGCCAGGGCTGTGCGGGCAGAGGACTGTCCCAGAGGCCCCCTGTGAGACCACACGAGCGGCTCTGGCAGTCGGGTCGGGGGTTTGCAGCCATGCTGGCCTCTTCCCCAGCCCGCAGCAGGGCCGGTGGCTGACGCGCCTGCGCCAGGCCGGAAGCAGCTTTGGACGTGGGGTGGGCAGAGCAGCAGGAAGCCGCCAGCTGGACCTCCAGGATGGTGCCACAACTCAGGAAACAGAAACCCCTCATGCGAGGGCTGCTGGGGGGGCAGCTCCACCTGTGCTGGGCAGCAGGGGGCCCCCGAGTCCCAGAGCTCAGGCTGCTGAGCCCCCTGGCGCACTGTTTCCTGGCGGGCGCCATGCCCAGGTCTTGCCATATCTATCGGGACCGGCTTCCACGACAGCTCTCCTGGAACAAGAACTTTGCATCCACCGTGTTGGGGGCTGGGAGGTCCGCCCTCTGGGCGTCACAAGTCCCCCCACGGCCTTCCGGGGGGCGTGCACGGTGGGGAGCAGGGCTGGAGCGTCCTAAAGCAGCATCCACGGCAACACCCCCACGTCCTGTGCCCGCGAGCCGCACCCCGCCCCGTCCCCAGGGCTTACGTTTGAACGTGTCTCATCTGTGGGTTTTTATTCACATACAGAAAACCCACTCACGTTAAGCCAAATAGGAAGTCAGAACCGTCTCTCGTGCGACGGGCCAACACCTCGGGGAGCCAGTTTGAGATGCAGAGGCGTGTTCTGGGGACGCCGTGGAGGCCCAAGGCACAGCCGGGCCACGCCGCCGTGGAGTGGGGGCCTGCTTCTCGTGGACGGCCCAGTCCTGAGGTTCCGCACAGACCAGGAAGCAAGGGGAGGCGTTTGGCCTCCAGAGCAGCCGCGTGGCCTGGCCGGGGCTGGGGCTGGGCTTGCGCAGGGACCGGCTTCTGGGCCGAGGCCGCAGCGGCTGTGGGTCAGCAGTGTGCTTGATAAGAAACAGGGATTCGATTTGGTTTGGTTTCTTTTTTTTCTTTCTCTAAATTAGAATTATCGACAGTGCCTTTCTACATTTTTAGAGGTGACATTTAAAATTCAAAGCAAGTAATGTAAAATAGAGATATATTTTATGTTTGAAAGTTCACACATGTACAAGTTCCCCTTGGAAGTGTCTACTCTGCCAGTGTTCCATGGGCAAAATCATGACGACAGTCTGATATGAGCTGAAACAGAATCTGGCCGACGGGCACAGACAAATCCCCTGAGGCCGTGCCAGCAGAGCGCCCTCCGGACCCACCGCAGCGAAGGGAGCTCGGACCTCATCTCACAGCCGAGGGCGGGAGGAAAACAGCCTGGAGGACCCCGGGGTGGTGCAGGGGAGGAGGAAGCCAGCTTCTGGGCCTGCAGAGTGGCCAGGGTGGCTTCAGGAGCCACTGGGAGAGGCACTGCTTCCCCCGGAACCTGGCTCCCCTCTTCCCGCAGGCCAGCCCTGACGTGTGGGGTCTCCTCTATAGTCCAACTTCCTCTCACATTTCATTATCGTTTTAGCTGGGCGAATCCTTTCTGGTGGGTTCTGCAAATCAAATGGGCTGGGGTGTAAAGACAGACAAGAAGAAAGGAGGGAAGATGGGAAGACAGCGCCAGCCACACTCCGTGCGAGTCTGATCTGACTCGGCCCCTGCGGCGGGCAGGCGGCCTCCCGAACCGGGTGCAGACGGTCGGCGGCCCTGTCCTCCCCGGTGGCCAGGCCTGCAGGCTCTGTCTGTCCAGGGGGTAAACTGGTCTTTTCCAGGTTCTCCCGCGCTTGTTCCTGGTTCTGCGCCAGAGAAGACCGATTCCATCAGAGCCCAACGTGTTCTCTCGTCGGCCTCTGTGCTCTGTCGGCCTCGCACGTTCCGGGGGAGGCAGAGGGCAGAAGGGACCTCGGCTACTCGTCTAGAGCAGGAGTCACCCTTGTCACGTTTGTGCAGCGAGTCATGGTTTTCTTTCTGGAGGGGCACGCAGGCTGGTAAAATCATGCCGAGATTTGGAGAAAATCATGTTGAAAAATACCATGAGGCCTTTCCTTCTAGACTGGTTTTTGCTTGTTTGAAGTTCCCAATTGCAGGGAGATGTCAGGTGGGTGACGAACCCCTGCTCCGTGAGAAGGTAGTAGATTTTGGCAGTTTTTAGTTATTTTGATATGGGACCGAATAAAAAGCAACAAACCAAAAAGAATTCACCGAAGTTCTGAAATGCCTGCAAACTCGACAGACCATGTTCATGTGCCGTCGGGGAAGCGGTTCCCAGGCCTGGTCGCACCTGCTGGGCGCCCTGCCGCAGGGCTGGGAGGGGATAAGCCCGCCAGGCGCAGGGTCACCTCCTCGCTGACAGCGCGGACTACGAATGTCCCGTGACCCGTCTCTGGCCCTTCCAGAGCCAGCCTCCTCCACGGAGCTGCGGGAGCGCCTGCCGGGGACCCCCACTCGGCCCCCCTGAGCCTGGCTGTGCCGGGCACGTCCGTCACCTGCCCAGTCCTCGGGAGGTTTAAATCCCGCCCTGTCTTTTCTGACTGCAGGCTCCTGCGTGCGCAGAGGGAAACGTTAGCGGCAAGAGGCGTCCCGAACGTGCTGTCTTTGGGGTCCTCGGCTCCAAGCAGGGTCTGGGGCTGGCCTGGCCGCTCCCTCTTTCCCGGATGCAGGACGCGGCAACAGACTCCCCCAGTGACACCAAGGTCAGCCCTGGATTCAGGGCGAGCTGGGCTGAGGGGCTCTGCCAAGTTCTCTGTGAGAGCCCCACACCCCGCTGAGGCTGCTGGCGGCCACCAGGCAGTCACACCGGGCACAGCCACTAAAATCAGCTCATCGTGGCACCAGCCGTGGCCTGAACGTTGAAGGGAGGGTGAGCTCATCCGAACGGCGCCACTCACACACTGCAACGACGGAAAGCAAGTAGCTTCGGGGGCCACCCCACACCACGGCACGCCACGCTGGACCCCCGCGCTGTCCCACATGATAGCACGCCACACTGCGCCAGGCCCCCCATGCGACACGCCACACTGTGCTATGCCACACGACACTGTGCCAGACCATATACATCCTTCCGTATCAGTCATACCAACCCCATTATTCTACTTAGTTCCTGAGGCCGGGAACAGTGTTGCCGGGCAAACCAGAGCCCGAACCAAGTGAAAGACGCCTCAGTCTAACCAGCAGACGCCGATGCTTTGAAGGAGGCAGAAGTGGAGAAAGCCAAAGGAGTGGACGATTTTACTCTAACTACAAAGACCATCAGTCCGTTCCCTTCAAGAATGACTGTTCTCCAAGTTAAGCACGAGGGCTGCCGGTTACAGCGTCAAAATCATACACGTTTTGGTGCCTGCTTGAATTTAAGTACTAATAACACCTATTGCAGGACCCGGCAAGTTTCCCGTCTGCTGTGTGTTAACAGCAGCGACCAGGGTGCATCCGGGAGGAGGTGCCCTCAGCCTTAAACCCTGGACACGAGGCCTGCCATGTCCTGCCGAGGGGCACTCACTGTGCGTCCGCCAGGGCGCCGAGGCGGACAGGGAGCAGGCAGAGAGGAGAGCGCAGGGCCCCAGACACGCAGAATTCGGCGCTGCTTCACGCTTTCGTGCTGGGTGGGTGGAGATGCAGCCAGAAGAGCTGGCCTGTGTCTTTACACTTAGGAACTGGGAAGGCTGTTTGCTCCTCAGCAGATGGAGGGTCAGGCAGAGTCAGGACTACCCTCACCTGGCTGCGGCCTCCAGGCCTCCTTCCCACGCCCCTGAGGCTGCCAGGTGAGTCTACCCAGGTAACTATACCATGAACTCAGAGACACGGGCAGAAAAGTGCTCCCACCAGATTTATGCAACTTGGGAAGACAACTCTGCACATTCTCTGTCCTGTCCGCAGAGTGTGTCAGGTGCAAACCTTATTTGTTAACAACAAAACCCCACGAACGGCCGAAATTCCCCACAAATTCCCAGGCAAAGCTACAGGTTTTGCCTCTCGGTGTCACGAGGGAACGCAGAGGAGACTGTACATGCGCTCAGACCATGCAGGGTGGGGGTGCGCCTTGGGTGGGGGAAGCTCCTGCAAGCCGTGCACAGAAGGGCCGAGGGTCAGAGCGGAGGGGCCGAGATTGTGGCCTCCCCCCAACCCCATGGCCTCCAGGGTTGCTGTGGCCACCCCTGCCTCTGACGCACCCTTGACTCACTTTTCGTCTGCCAATGGCAGGTTTCCATTTTGCAAACAAGGGTCTAAATTTGAGGATGAACGGCCATGGCTACTGCCAACCCAGCGCCCCCGGCCACGGCGGGTGTGGCACCTGCGGGCAACAGGTGGTGGCTTCGGAAGCTGGAGGCAGCCCCCGGGCCTGCCCGCCGCCCTGAGGAGCGATGTGCCTGATCACGTGACCTTGTCAGATGTGGGAGGTACGTGTGGCCATGTCCTCCAGCCTCAGAGGCCCGGGTAGCAGCTTGAGATAACGCTGGATTTTGGCCAAAAGCATCTCTCTCGCGTGGACATTTTGAATGGCACAGGAAGAAAGCGAGCAGGTGACTCAGACGCCCGCTCCTCATGAAGTAGACGCTCAGCTGCTCTGAGCGTGCATGCCGGTGGCTGTGACGGCGGCACTGTCCTTTGGGGCCATCAGCATTCTCTGCACGCACCCTGGGTCCTCGCTGCCTCTGTCAGCTGTCCCTTAGCAGCACACACAACACACTGTTTACTTGGCTGTCAACCTTTCCGAATCCAGACTGGCAGCAACCACAACAAAAGCTTGCAGGGCCATCGCGCTCCTGGCGAGAGGACACCCTTTCCCGTGCGCTGTACCTGGTCCAGCCTGAGCCGGGAAGCCCACCCACACCCCTCCTGCTCTGCCGCTGGGTCAACCTGCTGACAGGGATGGCGGGGGCAGGCAGGGGCGGAACGGCCTCAGGAGGGGCCTGGAGGAGGCGGGGGAGGGGCTCTGGTCCAGGGCTAGGCAAGGTTTTCGGGGGCAGGGTCCCCAGGGGCTCGTATGTCACCTCCACAGACACTGCTGTATGCCTGCGACTAATTAGTATGATCAGCGCGGAGCAAGCAGGCGCGCAGGGCGCTGACAGGCGGCCTGGGGATCCAGGTGCTGCGGAGCCCACGGCCCTCGGCCCCGAACTACCCGCCCACAACTCTGCCGCCCGGGTGGTGTGGACCGGACGGCGGGGGTGGCCCGGGGGCCGGGTACTCACCATGAGCTCTGCAAAGTTAGGGAAGTGTGAGCGCCCTGGAGGTGCCGCAGGCTCAGGCGGTCACGTCGCGCCCTGCTCCCCGCCAGCCTCCATGGCCATCCGGAAGGTCAAAGTCCCAGCAGCGGCCGGCGCTGCGCTCGGGCAGTGTGCGTCAGGGCGGCCGCGGAGGGGCTGGTGGGGTCTGCAGGCTGCGCCCATCTGTGGAGACAGCGCATGGTCAGAGGCACGGCGGGGGTCCTCCCTGCGCCGGCGGGTTTGCCCCCGCGGGCCTGTCCCCAGGCCAGCTGTGGAGTCGCCGCTCAGCCCCGTCGGGGCACGCGGAGGTGCCGGGGAGGACGAACGCGCCCGCAGGCGGACGCTGCCCTCGCGGGAGCCGCTCCTTCTGCACGATGGCGAGAGCTCAGCTTGCTCGCCGCCCCGGCGCGAGAACTGCCCCCGTCTCGGGCTGCACAAAGCCGGTAAACATGTCTGGCAGTTTAACCCAAGAGCACCAGATGCGCCTGGGATTCATCCCCACCAGCCGACCCGGCAGGGGACCTCCGGCCGCCGGGTCCCTGTTCCCGGGCGAGCGCTCGCGCGCCCCCGGCTCCCGGTCTCCCGCGCCGGCTTCACGGGAAGGTGCCGGAATCCGCCTTCCCACGGCGGGACCCGCAGGAGCCGCCTCCCGCGCCGGCGTCCCTGCCCAGAACCGGGCCTGCGCGTCCGGAGGGCGCACGGCGCGGCGCGGCGCGGCTCTCACCTACTCCGGCCCGAGCAGCCGGGCAGCCGCGGGGCGGGCGCTGCCCGCGGCCGGCGCGGCGCGGC